ATAATGAAGCGATGAAATTGAAAATTAATTACGATGATCAGAACGAAATACAAATTATAGGATACGATTATAAATCATCATTAAATCAAGATATGTTAGAATCTGACTTGATAATAAGTCATGCTGGTATATATTTTGTTTCATATCTTAAGCCAAATATTAAATACTGTATCAATAAAATTATGTAAAAATAATCAGGATCAGGATCAATCTTAGAATCACTTCGATTAAATAAACCTTTAATAGTGGTGATAAATGAAAATTTAATGAATAATCACCAAGCAGAACTCGCTATAGAACTTGAAAGTAAAGGATATCTTGTCTATAGCTCCATCAGGTTTTTTTTTCATAAACTATTATCTTTTGATGATTTTAAAAACAATTAACTCAAGTTAAGTCTTTCTTTTTTTTTTTCCTTAAAAAAAAAAAAAAGTAATTTATTAGAAATTTTAAAATCTAAAGCTTACGAGAATTTGATTTCATTCCCGGAATCCGATGCTACAATTTTTGCTAATATTTTAAACGAGGAGATGGGTATATGAATGATCGCATACACTTTATTAATATTATCAACAGGCAATACGATAAAATGATACTGCAAAAGAAATAATAATTATTGCAATTAGATTCTTGTAGGCATTATAAGCTTCAAGGAATTAAAACAAAATCTTTAATGTTAAATTCTTTACTATAGAGTATTTCATTATTTATTTTTATTTGTTTAAAAAAAAATTAAGTTCTTTTTTTTCTCGCATAGTTTTTAACATAAACATTTATAGTATAAATATTCTTAATAGAAAATTGATTATTAAAACAGATAAAATGAAAATTTTGGATTGCCGTTAGACAAATCATATATCATGCATTTGTATAAACAATGTGACATAATTATCATGAGGCTGAACAACATTTGCAAGTGATGGGTCAATGGATATTTTCAGTATTAATGCTTTTTGTTCTATTAGACAATGTAAACTGCTAATTACGTGTATAAACGAATGAGTAACATCACATACTGTAGAAATTACAATGTTTCATTTGACAACATATAAAATTTTGCTTGAGGATAGTGTAATAAAAATAATTAATTCATAATAAACTGTGCATATTAAATCCTTATACAAATGAAAAGAATTTTCTTAAATACACAATTAAAAACTTTTAAATAATTGAAGGTTTTTAGAAGTCAATTTTTCCTCGGAACAGCCATTAATGCCAAATTTTCTAAAGAAGTTGATGATTCTACATAATAAATTAATTCTACATCAAAGCCATTTTCTTGTAAATATTTAAGACGACCGTAATCTAATATACGTTTACATTTATAACCTAAAATTTCTCTTGAAGAATGATCTAAGCCTGAATAATGCATTCTATTTATTGAGAGAAATTAGAAATTATTTCACGTATAAATATTATTAAGATTATTTTCTTACTTGGTATCATCATCGACTGACTCTTCTGAATTATCATAAACGTGATCATCGTCATCATCACTATGTTTATCATCATATTTGGGCCTTTGCCCACAAATAGCCCAACTACTCATAGTACATATTCTCTTGAAATCATCATCTGTAATTCCGATATTTTCAAGATATTGTTGGTTTGGATACATATGGTATTGACATAATTGATGACAACACAGTGCTATAATTATTCCAATTATTTGGTTCCTATAAAAATTCACAATAGGTGCAACAAAAATTTAGTTATGGTCAAAACATTTAAAATTTTTACATTTACATACTCTTCTTTATTTAACTTGAAATAATCTATCAGCGATTTTAAAGTAACATCAGTAGCAGATCCACATAGATGCTTGGAATATGCTATAATTTTTTTATTCTTAATATAATCAAGTTTTGATAGATCTAAATCTTTAATGTCCATTCCAATCCGCTTTACAAGAGTTTTTTTATCGGATAATTGTCTTCCTTCTCTGATCCCTGAATCAAACTATTCCAAAGAATAATTTAATATCTAAAAAAACATTATCTTTTAAACAAATTTATTATAAAGGACGTAATGTCATACCTTACCACGTGTATTTTTTCTATCAATTAAAAGGAAGGAAGTTCTATCGTCTTCATCTCGAATAGCAAGTTTTGTAAAATATGATAATTCACCTTGATAATCCAGTATATAATAAAGTAGATTAATAGGTCATGTTATACAAATCTTTTATTAGATAAATGTTTACATGCTCACCTTTGCCACAACCAAATTCAATGAAACACCCATCTGGTTGTAATAAATTCAACCTTGTCATATGACCTAAAATCGATGCCTTTTATAACGAATTATGATTAGCACTGGACAAAAGGTTAATTCTTTATAATTAAATTATTGTAATTTACCTGCTGAGTAGCATGCTTACTATTTGTTACAATTTTTCTTTATATAATACATATATATATAATATTCTTAATATCGCAATAATTTTAAAAAAAATAAAACATTTACTCTTATTTTATGAATTATTTACTTTTTTTCCTTCAAAACTTCATGATCCAATACCATACTTTCAAAACTTGCGGGAACAAACTTTTGATACCAATAATTTACATTATTAATTAATGAATCTAAAATTTCTTTGGATAATTCTGAAAGTACGACTTTTTCCTCCATCACAATTTCGGATGGAGTGGATAATGTGCAATTAACATTAAGTGAAAAGTAAGGTGGATTTGGTCGTGGACGTGAATTGCATTTTTGTGAAAGATGTTTTTCGAGTTCGTCTTTGTAAACAGTACTAATATTTAATTATTAATTATTAAATGATAAAAAATTAAAAATTATATAAATAATTACTATTAGGACACTAACTGGGATGTATCATATGGACATGGAATGCGCTCTCTTGTATTTGGATTCGGATCACTTGCCAAATGTTCTCCGCAGTAATTGTTGCCGATTTTTGTGGTGACTATGACCAAATTCTGCTGTTTTTTCATCACATTCTGTGTAATCCTGTGATAAAAATATCGATTTTTTGTGCATATTATGTGATAGTTTAGTACCGATTAGATGTGCTTAAAAAAAAAGAGTACAAATATATTTATTTATTAAAAAACCTTAATTGCCGTTAAAATATGACATGCTTAATAATCAAGTGAGATTTTGACGATCGCTATTTAAAAGTTTATTATTATATATTGAAAAAACTGCGTTCTACACTACAACTAGAAACCGGAAGCCATATAAAATATTCGATAAAGATGTTTGCATTCCTATCCAATAATCATAAAGGTTTTATGTATATACAGTTACTTTGGGAAAATTTTTACGCATAAAAATCACGATTCTGTGATAAACTCTCATTTATTTGAAATTCTGTGACATTCTGTTGTGTTTAAGAAAAATTCTGCGGTATTCTGTGAAACACAGAAATTATCTTCCCTGATCCTGGGTTTGTTTTGTACTAAATTTAACTAAATTGAGTTATTATATTTTTACACTAAAATACTGTATAGTTAGACTCAATAAGTTGTCGAAAATTGTTGGAAGTCTATACTCAACAGTTACACAAAGTAGAGTTGCGGCCCAAACCTCTTTTTTGAATTACGATATTACTACATGAGAATCGGGATTTCTACTTAATTTGGGTTCATAACCAAAACAAAACATATGTCCCATTGAGATTAATAGTGTCAAATTCGGAACCAGTCAAATTTGTTTAAATTAACTACTAGGATTAGTGAATTTATGAAATACCCCTCAAATTTAAAAATTTTGACACAGATAGTCGCACAAAATCTATTGTAAAATGCCGGAAATTTCCGTTTCGTCATGACAATTTCCGCTTTGACTTTTCATCATTTCCGAATATGATATCATATATACGTATGTATATAAATATTAATAAATATTACAATATAGGCTAGGTGCTGGAAAAAGGGACAAATTGATAATTTTTTAAAATAAAATTTTTTAAGCTTAACTAATTTAAAATTAGCTCAAGAACATTTTTCACTTAAGAAAATTTTGCAGTATTTTTCCGAGTTAATATAGATTTTGTAATATAAAAAACAATTTTTCACAAAAATCTATTTTTTGTCAATTTGGTTCCTTTCTAGCCCATATCATTATTAAAAAAAACTTCTACATCCGGCTGAGTTTTCTAAATTCCGGTTAAAA